AGTATAACATAACATATCCAACAAGTGCGATAATTTGAATGATAATGATACTCATAAACAGCATTATTTTATAATAAACTGGCTGTATGAAATACCGAACAATTATTTGAATCATAAAAATTATATTCACACAGAAACTTTGTGTGGATAATATATAAAGTATTGAAATGATTTATTAATATGTAGTGATTTCTATGAAAATACTTCTTTGAAAAGCTTTATAATTTTAAAACACCTTCAAAATGAATAAAATATCAGGGATTAATTGAGTGATAAAAATATTCTTACAGAAAACGATTTCAAACCCGGACGCAACCCTTGGGAATATGCTTCGGCGAAGCCTTAAGGGGATGATACAAGAGCTGGTCAACCGGACGACTCCGACCCCTGGGTCCTTCCGGCCGTACTCGTCGGGGGCCGTGTGAAACCCCGTTAAAATCTTACATTCCGACTTTTTGATTCTATTATAGAATTCCATTTTGTTGTTTAAAATACCACCAAAACGACAACATATTGTTCGTCGAATAATATTAATATTCTTACTAAAATTCAAAGGAGAGGATATGCTAATACAACAATATATCAATCATTTGGGACACACCGTATGTTAAAGCTCCCATTAACACCTTCTAAACTATTAAAACTTAGCAAAAAAACCAATGGATATCAAGAAATATTTACTGATAGGTAGCTAGTTAACAGAATTAAAAAAATTAACTTTAAAAGAAGCAACAATAGGACTCAGCCACCCCACCGAAAATGAATCGGTATGTTTACGTTGTTTGCTACTACATTGATGAACTATCAGAAAAAGTAGGTAAAATTCTTAAACAAGAAGGTTTTAGAATAGCTTATGGAGGTACGTGTTCATTTAGGAACATCCTCTCAAAACTGAAAAACAAGGTTGACAACTTGGCAAAAAGCGGGGTTTTCCAACTTAATTGTAATCATTGCGACATTAAATATATAGGTGAAAGCGGTAGAGAAATTAAAACGACTGTTCAAGAACACTTGAACCCACAAATTTTCGGAATTTATGGACCATCTAAAAGAAACAAAACACAATTTCAATTCAAATTTAAATACAACAAAGGGAGGGAACTAGATTGGTTTGAGAAATTTGGAATTAAAAAATTTAAAATTGAACATGGAGGAAGATGCATTAATAATATAATAGATTTTGATTTACCTCCTATTTTAAATATGTACCTAAATAATATTAGATGTACAAAATAATCAAATTATCTAATTTAATTTTTATCAATGTTATCATTAATTTACTAAACTATTATTAATGTATCATTTTAATTTTTTTATTAATTAATAAAAAAATAATCACTAATTTATAATTATTTTCTTACAGCATTTATTAATGTTATTTTTAATTGTGTTATAATTCCAGCTTTTCGCAGGTTGAAAATTAAGCGGCATTAAAAGCCAGCTTCCCATCGGCGGGTTCACTCTGACAATTCATGACGAGAGACCTGATTCTTTCAACCTGATGATGAGCTATAAGCTTGAAATCTGAATCGTTGAATAAACTAACTGTGAGTAGGAACTATCTTTTTTAAAAAGATATACCAATGATACCAACATTAGTGCCTTTCCAATTCAAATGATAGCAATTTCCAATTAAACCGGCTTTTGCAGTAATGATATATAAACAAATCAAAAAGTCAATCATTGCTATGTATGTGTATTTAGATTGAATTTGGAGAATCCGTGTTTTCTCATGGACAATTATATATAGCATGCTCCAGGATGGGGGATTTGTTGTGTCTATACAAGCCAAATGGAATCACTAAAAACGTTGTATCCAAGAGCATTGCAATGAATTTAACACTGAATACAACAGTAATTATAATTTAATGCAATGCAATCCAAATTAAAAATAATATTGCACATGTAAATTTCTAATACGATGACTACATACACATTGATATCAAACAATCAATTGTGATCATTTAATTTATATATGCTCCTATCTTGCAATAGAAATATGTGTACTCAAAATAATGTGTTAAATATAAATAACACTTTACGTCCCACCTTCCGGACCTGACCATCGCGATCCGGCTTTCTGACCCTAAAAATTAAAAAAAAAATCGTTAAAACAAATTGGTTGCGTCGGTGAGCCTGATCGGTAGAGAAGCTCTCTCGTATCAATAGCAGTGTCCATAGGTGGCTCTCGGAGGACTCTTAGAAAGGTCACTCTCACCCGATTAAGAACAGGTCATGCGAGGTTTACACGGGCATTTACTTTGGACCAAAGCCCGTGTATGTGTCCGGCATGCAGAGAAAGGTTGCTCGATGTGTCCCATTTAATTGAAGAGCGCCTTCTTTACCTCCATATAGAGAGCATGTAGGAATGCCAGATATGAGAATTGTGCTTGAGCACGTCAGCAAGTATACGGGTCTCCTGTTCCGATTTTTGGAGGAAAAAGGGTTGTTTTATTGTATGTAGTACTGATATTTCTGTATCTCAGTAGTGAATGCATTGATTACACGCGGAACGTGTAGTTTGAGAGGGTCGATGGTGGAATACCGAGTATCCCATCGACCCTCAATTAGGTCACTTATAAAATAGGTGTAAAGGGTGATGGAGGATTATCTAGTAATCCACCACCCTTATAAAATGGTATGTAAATAAGAGTGAATGTATTTAAGAGTGAACCAGAATGTGAATGGGTTTGGATTGAGGAACTGATTGCGTTGGGGGCTAAAACGACCTAGCTAGCTGTTGAAAGCCCGTGGAGCCTAACAACGGTTGCTGGATAAGAACGAGGCCTGACCTCGGACAAGACCCGGGGTGGGTGATTCTCAATGCCAGCGTGTAATTTATTGTAAATGACAAAAGATGGAATTGCCGGTGGATTGCGAGAAGTGATAGGCTCAACTCTGTACACGCTCGTATGTTTGTATGTACAGGAACATTGACTCAAATAATCTGCAGAGTTTTAGGAACAAAAGCTTCAGAATGTACGAAATAACATGCTACTATGAGAATGATAAAATGATTTTTCTGCAGATTTATTTTAAAAGGAGTATTGGCCCCAGTGGCACCAGGTCAGAAAGCACGCTGGAAAGAGTGAAGCGATAGAAAAAAAAGTATCAATAAGGCGTAAAAATAACCGGGTAAATTATAGAAAATGGGTTTGTAATATCGGTCCGGTCGTAAATAATGCGTTGCCATGGGTATGGTAGGTTGCCTTGTGCATAACTTTGGAGCTAATTCGAAGGGAAGGGAAACAACTCCGTTGCACGGAACTATTTGCCCTTCTACAATTTACTCCATTGGAATTTTTTGTGTACGTTAAAACTGAAGCGAGAAAGAAAAACCTTATACTTTTTAACATGCCAACATCGAAGCGCAATCGAAAGTATGTCGAAGTATGAAAATAGGGCAACTTCATTTATCCCCCTACCGAAGGGATTGTGTTGATAAAGTTAGGAATGCGTAGTAAATAAAAAACAAAAGTTAGGGTGAAATCGCGATGGGAATTGGGGGTTCACTGGGTAACAACTGCAACTACATTTCTGCCTCAACCCTATAAAAAATGTGCTATACCACGAGGCCGCTCTCAACTCGACAAAATGGGGAAACTTTAGAAAATGCTCCACCGCATTATGCGGTATGAGCCTCGTGAGACGAAAACAAGCGAGGATAACGACTTTACATAAATTTACAACCAACTGTATGATGCGGTTAACACTATTTTCAAGTTATGTATCATAAAGACGTGAGAAAAATTGTTCATTAATCCAGGAATGAATACAGGCAATCTTGTAAAGGTGACCATATTCTACTGGGACGGCATTAGTAGTGTTTTTGCCTCGAATGATAAGTAGCATGTTTCAACAACCCTTGAGCAACTTCCATTTAAAAATGACAATAAAAAGAGAAAGAATTATTCTAACGAGGCTTAGATAGACACACTCGTCTCGCAGATAGCTATCTTCTGTTGGGCGGTCGACAACAACACTGACCCCATGTAATGAGCCGATGATAGTCCGTTACCTTCCAGTGAACTGTGGTGCTTAAAAATCCCGTAGAGAACGGTGTATACTACCTTCAGATGAAAAAAGTCAATGCATTGCAGTGAATATAGGGAAAAGTTATTTGAATAATATAGTGGTATATGCATAACAGAATTTATTCTACCTATTCACATATTTCATGTCTTATGCTTACGAATGTATGTATGTATTAGAGATGGTGTATGGTATGAATGAGGAATAGGCCATTGGCAGAATGTTGAGTACCCCGATGGCCCCCTATAAGTTTTCAATAGTAAATAGTTTAATATAGGTCGGCAGATTAAAATCATTTAGTTCCTCCAGAGGTCAGAAGCCGTCAAGCATCCTGGAAGAAACCCAGTGACGGGGGTTACATCGTGTTCCCGAGGCGGCAGATAGTTGAAATGGGACGAGGAGTGTGTGTTCGAATCTGTCGCTTTTTTCTTGTATTCGAGCATTAAATAGTTAATCTAATGATTATACTATCGATGAGATAATATGAGTGAACCGTGGATTCTTATGACGATCATCAAAGCCTTATAATAATTTTAACGGTTAAATAAGTTAGATTTTTAATAGCACGACGGTAACCACTGTAGTTGGTCATGATTTTATTGGCGATTTAAATAATATGTGTTTTGCTAGATTCAAATAAATAGTAAATCGGCAAGGAACCCGAAACGCCCAGGAAGTGACCGACGCTTGTTTCATCTTCCTGATATGTCGTCGTGCATCCGACATACATACCCATGAATATGTGCAAGGACGTGAGACACATGCGATAAAAATAATCAATGTGACTTGAATAAAAGTTCTGAGTCAACAAGTTAATTTATTATATGATAATTAAGTAGGCAATTTACAGTCCTAATAACTTTCAAAGTTAAGAAATAAAATTTTCTTGGATCCTAAGGCTGATTATGTTGAAAATATTTGTTTTTAAATTAATTAAAATCCAACTTTGATGTTTTTTTTTATCTTACCTTGATTTTTGGCGAGGCTCCGTGCAATGGAAAAAAGGCAAAGTAATAGAAGAGAAAACCCGCCCCGGTGTACCATAGCTCTTCCTCCTGCAAATAGAAAAAAAATGTATTGTCATATAAATTACATTGCTGAAATGCAGATCCAGCCGTTTCAATGACAGTATCACGGCTCAACATCGGAAACCGACGTGAGCTTACGCTTCGCTGAAATGAAGAAAAACAAACCGTAAACAAGCAGTGTCTGTCAATCAAAACTGCCGGATCATATTTTTATCAGGATAACTTGAGAAATTAAGACCTGTAAAGGAGAAGTTGGAAAAAACCGAGTAGATGAAGCAAAATAGATTACGCGTATAAAAAATGAGAAAAGGCGTGTTGTACAAGATGATCGATAATCCCAAGCTATGAAAAAATTACACTAACAAAAAAACATAATGTAATTTCTTGCTTAATCGACCATTTCTGAGGGTGGCTAATACACGCACGAAGTATAGTTCTCGTTCTCTCTGCTTTTGGTCTCTTTAATTCCTGGATATAATCTATTATAAGAGCTATATAATTATAAATCTTTACGACGAATCAAGCGCATTAATTAATCTCATTAATGCCTAAAAGAGTTATTCGAGTTCTTTTACCAAACGAACACAAAGACAAGAATTATTAAAGATAAACAGTATAAATTTATTTAAAGTGTCAGCTAAAAGCTACATGGCTTGACAACGTTTACATTTTAAGCACGAAACCTGTTATGTACTTTGACTGTCCACTTCCACTAAAAAAGGTTAGGGATGATAATTAAACCCCCTAAATATATCAAGAGTAGTAATCTATTTTTGGTACGATAGTTGTTACCTGCCTATCCTCACTGATTTTTGTTAGTTCAGACGCGCTACACATTTCATAGCTAGTCAGGTTATTATTTTATTAACAAGAAATCACCCAAATTTAACACTGAAGATGGAGAAATGTAGAAACGGGTCTAACAAATAAAAATCACCGAGGGTAGGCAGACCAGGATAATAGGTAACTATCAAACTATAGGTTTATCACCCGCAGACCACAAGAGAAAATATCACAATTTAAAATAGCTAGCCAGACAAAGTTATTAACAAAAAATAACCCAAACTCAACACACATTTAAGACGGCACTCCACAGGCCACAAAAAATCACAATTAATATATTTACTAGCACCTATTTAAAAGACCACCAAGAACCTGATATTCGTTTGAAAATCGATACTATTACTAATTTTCTTCCCCTTGGACTTACAGCCTTCGGAGGTTGATGTCCACGCATGTTATACACATGCTAACTTCTCCTTTAAACTCTCGCCCTTTTAATGTACGCAATTGTACAACACACACAATAATTTGTATGTGTGTGCACGTTATCGATTGAACCGGACGCGTTTACGGTTACGCGTGCGCGTACATTTAATTACAAAGGGGTTTAATTTATTTTGGAATTATTTAATAAATATTTATAAATTTGTGCCTATTACATACAATATTTGCCATAGTTCATTTTTTTCAAGAGGGTTCGCAACAGCAGAGGTCATATCAATCCCCGGAGCGCCGGTGTTTTTGAAAGAATAAAAGCCCATTTGTAAGTATGTCGAGTTCGAACCCGGGACCTTTACCTTACCACTGAGCGCCGTGTCGGCGCCTAAACCGTTGCGGCTAACGATTGTTTAGTTTATTAAATATTTTTTACTTGTTATAACTTGTGAATAAATTTAATTGTTAGGTTTTTGTACTTAGATTTTTAATTAGTTTGTTTTATTTTTGCCTACCTGTATTGGGTGAGTTGATCAACTGTCCGCCCATTTTTCCTTCGAAAGAGACCAAAGTTTCCAAAGCTTTTTTAATCGTAAATTTCAGAAATGAGAAATATAGTCTCAATCATACCTGGAAACTGCAAGACCGTAACATGGAGGGATGGGAGATCATGTAGACGAAGAAGGATAACATACAAAGAATCCCATTTAAAATGCAACATATAATTAATGTGGTTAATAAGAGCAACTGTGGTTAAACAAGAGGTTATAAACTATAAAGTTGTCTAAATTTCCAGTAAATTTAAATTTTCAGATGTATGAAAATTCCGTTTTCCACGACCTGGGAGAGACAAAACTCGAGGAAATTACCAAAATGGATGAAGAAAAAAAAAGTTGGCCCCCTGTAAATTTTCAAACAGAACGTTAACTTTGAAGCTAAGGTGTCATCCATAAAAAGTAGACAAATCTCATTCCATCTTCTGGCCTTAATGAGTCCAAAAGATCGCAGCTTGTATCATTATTGTTACTAAACACTTTTCGGGCCCACCATCTTTTTTTATTTCTTTTATTTCTATTTTTAATTAGAAGCAGAGCAATACCCGCGAGGCCTCACTCATGAGATATTTTCTATGGAACTGCCTCTGTAGTGTAGACGTGACTCATTGTTGAGGGGGAACCCCAAACAGACGCTCAACATTGAATTGGGGCTGTTCCCAACAAAGACGTGCAACTTTGACCCTTGTGTGGACAAGCCTTTAAGGCTATGGAAACTTTGTGCAATTTGCCTTATTATATATAGTTTTCAAATCTCATGACAAAGATAAACATTAATAATAAGCCCAAGCATTAATTGACCTCTTAAACGAAATGAAACAGGATTTTCGATTTGCCACAAAGGAGGTTGTTTTGTTTCTCCAGCTGGCTTCATCAAGGGTTTTCTTTTATTTAAAATCGTGATGGCATCTGGTTTTTTTGTTCTTCCATCGCCACGGACGATGATCTATCAAATATCTGCGAAGTACAAAAACGTGTTTCTGTGCTAAAGATTTATCATTCTTATGCTAATTTTTCCTGAGCCTAAGGTAGAATTTTTTTCTTTCACAAATCGCTGCGAGCAATTTGATGTGACTGATACGCGCCTAATATGTTAACATTGTTAACCCTACCGTTCGCTTTTTTTTTAAATTTAGCTGAAAAACTGGAGATTCTTGCTTAAAAAGCACGTTATAAAATTTGAATTTCTCAGAAATTCAGTTTCATCAATAAGTTATATTTTTGAAAGGCTCATCAATGAGTTAAAAATCAAAAATTATTTACTCTTTCCTATGTTAAGGTCGCCATAGCAACGGCTCGCGTATGTGTTAACGCGTAGTGGTATTGATCCCGTCGGATAGAAAGGTATGAAAAAATTTCCTGAGAAATTAACAATTAACAAAGGCCGCAGTATAGGAAATTCTTGGGAAACCGATATAAAACGTGTTTTGATTTATTTTGCAAATTAATTTCGTAGTTCAGTATAAGATTTGGTATAAACGGGACAATATTTTGTTATTTGTTCCTCATGGTACAATACAAGCAGAGCCCTATACAATGTACTATGTAGTAAAAAGTAGCCCTAAGCTGGGCGAGAGGTCTCTAAGGAGTACTGTATGAGGCAGTAGATTAGCTGGCAGCACTTGGCTAGATATCCAACCTCACAAAGGAGATATAAAAATTATGTCAACCATTAAATCATGCATATGGTTACTTAGTCATCCGGGAATGAAGACGTACCCAATAAGTGACCTTATGTCGGTTCAGCACGAGTTAACCGACTTGCAGACAAACACCCTCATCAACTCTAACCATCACATCATAAGAAAATGACTATCAGACTAACAGTCGGAAGTAGGTAAATATTGCCAATTCCACTCGATAAAATAAACCGTGGTTTTCGGAAGTAGATAAAACAAAAAAAAATGTTATTCCACTATAACGCTGCTTAGGGCCGGACATGTGGCGGTCTATCTCCTCAAAATAAAGCTTAGCTTAGACCAACCGCAAATTGACACGCGACGATGTTGAACCTCGGCGGCACATTAATTCTGCGAAGGATACATGTAAGAGGTAGAGGATCAAGCAATCGCAGACTTCAATAGATCCATTTAACTTGCAACTTACATACATTACTGGCATTACATTGCGACATTTACGCGAGCCTTTTTTAAATTAATGATGTGCTGTGATATCATAATGAAAATATTTATTTATATTTATTAAATATATGTATTGGTGTATAATTGTTTGGATTTGTTAATGCTCAAATTAATTCTTATTTATACATTTATATTCAAATTTATTATTTTTCGAAAATTTAAGGCCAAAAAATACAACGTTCTTTCATGATCTCGTTTTGTTTTAGTTCTTTTTTTTCCAACAATAATGTGAACCACCAGGATTGCAACAAGTGTATCAAAACGGTCATAAATCTAATCATTACAGGAGAATTACCATAACAGTCAACTGCAGCCATTTTTTATGGACTTAATTGTTTTATATTTAGCAAAGAAAAGCAATGTAACGAAATTGAGCTATTCTTTTCTGCTGAAAAAAATTCGTTTACGTGTTCAACAAGAACAATTGAAAATAGTCCGTCTTTTGAAAGTAAATGGTTGGGGGATAAAATATCGAGGGAACGGTCTGAGATGGACCGTTATGCCTTACTTCTTTGACGCCCAAGGAATGTTATATAAGCCGGGCATTTTAAGTACGTATTATCATCGTTGACTCAATTTATAAGCACTGAGTTACCATAAGAGTTACGTGAAAGCACGAATGTAAAAAAAATCAGATCAATTGCAAGCGGTTATCCTCCGTCTAAAAAGGGAAAACGGGAATCGCTAGAAATTAAATGTGAACGTGAAATGATCGGAAATGGTCTGCTGTTGAGTCACACTGATAAAACACTTTCGATTAATTAGTTTCTATATAAAAAAAATCACTTGATAAATCAGGATGGTAAACATCCGCACAAAAAATAAAACTTTTCAGGACTAATCAATTTGCGTATTGCAGTCAATCGGAAGGTCGGTTGGCTCGATGAATACGACATTCATCACATTCTGAGCAATCACATTACCTACGGCGGACGAGGCGGCTAAGGCCGGGACTCTGACGCTAAAAATACAAAAAAACATCATCAAAAGAAAGTTGTTGCCCCGGTGGGCCGGATCGGCAGAGAAGCTCTTGCGTATCAATATGTCGATAGGTGGCCCTCGAAGGACTCTTAGAAGGGTCACTCTTACCCGATTAACAAGGTTTATACACAGA